CCCCTGTGGGTGGGCACTTAGGGATTCACAAGACCATTGCGAAGGTTAGGGACATGTTCATCTGGAAGGGTATGGACAGGGACATTGCGGCACGAGTGCGTTCTTGTCAAACATGCTCGCTAAGCAAGCCTGCTCAGAATACCAAGTATGGGTTGTTGTCATCTGAGGTGGCGGAGAGACCTTTGGAGAAGGTTTTCATAGACTATGTAGGGCCTCTCCCACGTAGCAAGTCAGGAAACAAATTCTTGCTTGTTTGTGTGGATGCCTTCTCCAAGTTTTGTTGGCTTTTCCCTTTGAGGAACGCCACTGCACAGCTCACCGTGCAGGCACTTCGTACCCATTTGTTCCAACACTTTGGAATACCCGCCACCATTGTTTCCGACAACGGAACTCAGTTCGTGTCTCACCTTTTCAAGAGAATGTGCTTTGGGCACGGTATCCGCCATGTGACCACTTCTCCTTACTATCCACAGCCTTCCCATGCTGAGAGGTTCAACAGAAATCTTCGATCCGCTCTCATAGCTTTTCATGCTGACAAGCAGACCACCTGGGATCAGGAACTTCCTTGGATTCAATTTGCTTTCAATACTGCACACCATGAGAGTCACAAGGCGGTCCCTTTCGAGCTGTTGTTGGGCTATCCACCCAACAATCCCTTGGCAAATGTGTGGAAAATTGGCGACCTTCTGCCACCCCCTGGTGCAGCCAATGTCAAGGCAACTTGGCAGGCGGCTAGGAGGAACTTGATCCGAGCTAGGGATTTGGTCCGGAGGAAGCACAATCGAGGTCGGTTGGACAATCCTTTCCAGGTGGGGGATTTGGTTTTCTGTAAGGCTCATCCGGTCAGTTCGGCCGTGGACAAGAGAGCCGCTAAGTTGTCTCATCGGTGGTCAGGTCCCCACCGCATCTTGAAGTTCTTGACTCCTGTCTCCGTGCGGCTGGGAGATCCGCAGACTGGAGAAGTTTTCCGGAGGGCTCACATTTCTCATCTGAAGCCTTTCCGGGGAACAATTCCGTAGGTCATCTTTCATTACTCTTGTGTCTGAGTGGGAAGTGCACTGGGCCAGAGAGCTTGATCACCTCTTCTGTCCCTTGTGCGCTGCTGAAGATTTTTCCCTAGTAAATTTTCCAGCACTGGCCAGTGCAAACCCTGGGGGTGAGTTGTCCCTCCAGTTGAAAAAGTTTTTGGCGTTCCCCACTTCAGACACTTGAGTTGATCTGTGGTGTTGAGATCTTCTAGAATTGGGAGAGGTTGTTTTCTTTTTTTGGAGAGGAAGTCCTCCTTTGGGGGGGGAGGTTGAGCCGTGACTTGTCCACCAAGCGTCCCACCAATGTCACGCCTCAGTTTTTTTTATAGTGCGAGTGCTGGCTTTGCGCCGGAACTCAATCGGTTTGGGTCTGGCAGCAGTCCTGCAGACCCCGGGGCATTTTTTCCGCTGTCGGACACATTTTCGGCAGAAGGACAGCGACTGTCATTACTACACACACACAGTTTGTTTTGTTATTTTGTGCCTCAAAATGTATCCGTGTCCATCGATATCATTTTCTGTTTTATTGTTATCACTTCAACAAAAAGTTATGTAGTTTAGTGTGCCGAGAACGTCAGATGAGTAAGTTGTTTGATTATTTTTGATTTGTTTAGGTTAGAAAGTTTCTTGATTAGTTTTGGCCTTCGGCCACATGTTGAGCAGGCTTTGAGTGGGTTTTGGCTAGTGAAAAACAAGTATTAAGCACCTTCTGTGCATTGGAATTACTTTTATTTACCAATTACTTGTTTTTCAAGGCGCTAGACCCATTTCTGAGCCTGGGAGTTGAACAGAGTTTTGTTGGGCCTTTGGCCAAGCTTTGTGTGGTCAGACCACAAGTTTTTCTGGTTAGTTTTGTAGTTTTTGTTGTTGCCAAGTTTTCAAGGCTTTCCCCGAGACTCTAGGCCAGATATTACCCAAGAAAACTCACTTTGAAACTCTCTTTTGTGCGGGCTATGGTCCGTTTGTTCTGTGTCCCTGTTAATTTATTATTAGGCCTAAGGCCTAGTTTGTGCTCAATTTTGTTTTGTTATTGTGGCCTACAGCTTGTTTAATGTAAATTTTGTCCCTTTGTCCCCTGTAAAAGTGTTTTTTTTGTTATTTGTAATGTAGGCCATGTCACTCAGCCTAATTTTTTTTAGTTAAGTAATGGCGCCTCCTGGGGGCCAAGCTCGGTCATAATTAGTTAGTTTTAGTACTCTTACATGTCCCCTGCAATTTTCATTAAGTTTGGATAATAAATGACCGAGTTATTTAAGTTTTAGTTTAGCGCATTTCTGTTTGCTGAGTGACCGTAGGTAACTGACCCCCTACCTAGCCTCAGGCTTGTTGGTAGGCATGGGTATGTCTTTTAAAAGCTGCGGGCACCTGTGCCACAGCTTTTAAAAGCAATTTGAGCAAATTTGGTTGGTAATAACCGGAGTTATTACCGGTTTTACCTGAAAATGCACCTCCAGCCAAAGAATTTTTAATATTTTGTGTAAACTGTTTTTTGAAGTATTAATTGTAGTATTTATGTAACTGTTTTGTGTTTGATTAATGTGTTTTACCCTTCTGGACCAGATAATTTATATTTTTTATTGTCAACTTCAATTTTTATGAAAAATGTCTGTAAGAATGTGTTGTTAAAGTTTGTAAAATCTAAAAAGTCTATTTATTGTTATGTTTTAGAGCTTTATTGAACTGAATTAAATTATTTCTAGTCATTTTACTTTTTCTAATTTTAAAAACTGTTTTACAAAGGAAAGCCTAATTTAAAAGAAGAATATTTATTAATAAAATCACTCTTAATGGTTTGGTCAGTGAATGAGTGGTGCGGAAATTGTTTTTGATTTTATTGCTTGCAAACCTGGATAGGCCTAACACTGCAGTCATATGAAGCCTAAGAAATGAACTTTTATTAGTTAGGCCTGGAATCTGTTCAAAGGGTCCCGGATGGGAGGTTTGGTTCTGCTGATGTCGTCCTCGGAGAGGGTCGCCTGGGGGAACTCTCCACCTTCCACCCCCTTGAGCTGCCAACTGCCCTGTTTCTCCGGGGACTTTTAAGCCACCATCCGCCTTCAACCACCACCGCCTACCACCACCAAGTGCCGCAAGTTTGTTTGAATTAGCCTATAAACATTTTTGAAGGACTTGATATTTAGAGGGGCCCCCAAATTATTCATGACTTGTTATTTATTTTTAAGCTAATCGTTATTTATTAATTTTGAAAGTTAATTATTTATTGTTAATCTATTTAAAGTTTAAAACTGATCAGTTACCATCCTTTTACAGTTACCACTTTTAATTATTTATTTGTTAGGCCTAATTTTGTTACTGGTACCAGTTCTTGTAAGTTCAGAAGGGTAGGCTAAATTCCTTTTCATTAAAATTTTTGATTAAGTTTTTTAAGAGATTTGAGAAATTCTTTGGATGGTTACATTGTTTGATTGTTGATTGTTATTTTGTTGAATTTTTGAGATTAATTATAGGCTTTGTTGACAACTATTTGTTTTGTTTTGATATTCACCCACGGCCTTTCACTAGTTAGTGATGTGGGGCGGCCACTCGCACTGTCACTATGGGGGGCATGCTTCCTTTAGTTGTTCGTCTGGGGGCGGTGCGAGGGGTCGGCTCAACACAAACACACCCACGACTTCATATTTATTCATAGTAGCACTCCGTTTCACCAAACAAAGTTAAACCGACCGATTTTACAAGTTTTTATCACCGACAACGACGACATAACCTCAAGCTGGTGTTTGTTGATTGGCGATGACAGACGATAACTAGACCGAATCCCCGATCAGCTGTTGGCTAGTTTCCAAAATCGCCACCGCAGCGCTTAAGCTGGGCCGAGGAAATCGGGATTTGAGCCGGACAAGGATTATTCGCTGTTCAACCGTCGACTCGTTCACGAGAAGCCCGTCTAACACGAATTAAGATCACGCCATACAATACTACGTTACCCATTGATTCAGGTTAGCTACGTTTTTAGGCTTTCTTACGTTCATCTAAATTTTCTTTTAACATACGCATACTTGTCTGCCACTTATTGTTTACCCGTTCAAGTTCGATTTTAATTTCCTAAATTTTAATAACTTAGTTTTCGCCGATTGGAGTCTTGACCCGCCAGTGACTAGCGGTGGCTATCGTTTATTTAATTATAATTAATTATTTTCGAAATTACGATTTATCCGTTCGCTTAACAAATAATTATTACGTCTAAATTATATCTCGTTTTCACCGTTTTAATACCCCGAGACTTGTCGTCTAAGTTCTAAACCCCGTCTTTGGCGGGTGAAAGAATCAAGTCTTGGGAGCAGCCGATTTGAACAATCAAACAGCTACGAATATTAATATTGAATCCATTTTAAATCATCCCACGATAAATTCTCCATTCGATTATATTAATTAGGCCCGACGACTCTGTAGGAATTGCTTTTTACATTAGATTCAATTTTATTATCTACCACCGTCTTTAGCCAGATAGTTTACAGTTTATTACGAGTATTTAAATGACATTGGCTTAAGATTGGATACTCGTCGGCCCTACAGAGACATTCTAAAAGTTAGGCAAAATTTACCAAAACACTTTTACGAAGGCTGGGATGATATAGCTCCAACTGGGCGTCTGCAGGATTGCCTGAGCGCTTCTAGAGCTCTGAGCCTTCGATTAAATTTTAATAAATTGATCAGTCAAAGCCGTGACAACTTTGTATCGACCTCTGGATTTTTCTCGGCTCCTTCTGAGCACTCCGGGGAAGAAATTTGAGTGTGGCCGGTTCTAGGGGTAGGCCTAGCCTGACTTAGGTGAATACTACTTTATTCCCCCCCTAGAATTTTGCGTCACATAATTACTATTAAATGCATTTCCGTTTTTCTGTAAGTTGATGGGAAAATAATACATTATTGATAGATAATTTAACTGTGCAAAGATATATGTGTTGCAAAAAAGAAATTCTTAGAGTAATTAATAATATGATGAAATATCAGGGTATCTTGGCCACCCCAGACTACAGTCACACTGGTGAGCTGGAGACTTTGAACATGAAGCTGCGCAAAGCTCTGGACCTGTACGCCAACGTGGTCCATGTCAAGTCTCTTCCTGGCATCACGATGAGACACAAAAACATTGACTGTGTTGTCATCAGAGAACAAACTGAGGGGGAGTACTCAGCTTTGGAACATGAAAGTGTCAAGGTTAGGTTAGATCTTTGTAGCCTAAGTTATTTTTTAAAACAATGACGTTAACTTGTCTACCTGATATTTAACTTTTACTCAACTAAAGTATTTTTCTGTTAATCTGTTATTTAAATGAAAGTGTATTTCTTCAATAAAGTGTTGTACTAAAAAGTGAGTTGCAACATTTTTCTATGAACTATTCTACTTTCAAAGTAAGAGCCACCAAATTTGTTGGTAGGTATTTAACTTTATTGTCACTTAGCAGCTGCTAGACCTCATTTTCGAATTACCAATTATTGTAGATGTTTTAATACTGTACATATTTAATATATTTTAATACTGTAACTGTAAGTGTAAGTCAACAATATTACAACAAGTTTTCAAAACTGCTTGCTGTGGAGCCACCTGATACATAATACATCACTGAGTTATGGTTTGTCGTAGGGAGTTGTGGAGTGTCTGAAGATTGTAACAGCAACTAAATCTTCAAGAATCGCTAAGTTTGCATTTGATTATGCCACCAAAAACAACCGTAAGAAGGTCACCGCAGTCCACAAAGCCAACATCATGAAGTTGGGAGATGGGTTGTTCTTGAGAAGTTGCACAGAGGTTGGTTGTGATGTCAAATTTATTATTTACTTTATTTGCTTTATTCACTTAACTATATTTATTATTACTAAATAAAGTTGTGACAATTGACAATAATACCTTGTTCTTTTACCATGTAAAGCACCTATGTTTACAGTTTGTGTCAAGTTGGAAATTTATAATCAGAGAACCTAATGTTACATCTGTCAAGAAACCAAAATGTTTATACCCTTAAAACTTACAAAATAAACAACTGCACTTTGCTTGTAAAACTTAGTATTGCTAACAAAAAACTAACCTAAAATGTGAATGAAAACCCCTTGAAATGGGAGTCAATTGAATTGTGGAAGTTCTGTATGTCGCGATCGCGCAAGAGGATGATGAGGTTTGCGTGACCACGGGAGAAGATGATGATGTCTCCATGGTGGCAGAAATCAGAATTTTGCCAAGATCGCGGAAGACGATGTTAATGTATACACGTCTGTGAAAAACAGTGATGATGTTTCAGTGGTGGCTGAGGAAGTTATTCAGGATTTTTAGGTGATCCCAGAAGACGATGATGACGTCTCCACTGCGGGAGATGATTACGATATTACCTCAAGTTTGGCTTGACTAAAAATATCAGGCTGGCAAACCTCTAGTTATAGTAAAATTGTCTTTTTGATTTATTTTAGATCTTCATTTACTTTTGATATGGTAGTTATTCACTGTGTTTAGAAGGGTTTAAACTTAAATCGTCTAGTTAGAATTCATCACTACTGTATTAATTTTTTCTTTACTTTAAAACAACCCATTATCTCAAAATTACTTTATGGAACGAGATAAAGACAGGGGTTGGTGTAGTATAAACAATCTATTCATAATATTTAGTGAAACTATACAAAAATTGTATCGGTATTAAGTATTGATTTTTCAGGTATTGGTAACACGATCAAATTTCAGAATTGATAAATTTTGGTACTGACATATAAACATTTTAACTTATAAAAAACATTTATAAATATGTTAAGAATAGTTCTCTTGGCCTGTGGGGACACCAAAAAGAAACACAGGCTGTATACCAACCGGGAAAACCGGGAGAACCGGGAAATAACCTTGAATTTGAAGGGACCTGGAAAAAGCCGGGATTTTTGGACCGATTCCGGGATTTTTATTTTAGCCCCGGTAGAAGATTGTAGTCGTTAAATGCGTCTTGCCGCGATTGCGGGCGACGACGATGACGTTTCAGTGATCGCGGGATATGACAATGACATCTACACGTCCGCGGGAAATGTTCATGATTTGCCGCTATTGCGAACGACAACGATGACGTTTCCGTGACCGCGGGAGACGACGATGATGTTTACATGGCTGCGGTAAATATTCATGATTTTACCGCGATCGCGTACTTCGACGATTTCGTTTCCCTAACCGCTGGAGTCAATGATGATTTCTCGGCCATGTTTTTTTTTCCACGGCCGTGGAAGATTTTCATGATTTGCCGTGACCGCGAAAGATGACGATGATGATTTCTACACGGCCGCGTGAAATGCTCATGATTTTGCCGCGATTGCGACCTACGACGATGACGTTTCCGTGACCGCGGGGGACGACGATGACGTTTCCGTGACCGCGGGAGACGACGATGACGTTTACGTGACCGCGGGAGACGATGATGATGTAGACACGGCCGCGGAAGATTTTCGTGATTTTGCCGCGATCGTGGATGACAATGATTGCGTTTCCGTGATCGCGAGAGACGGCGATAATGTATACATACCGCGGGAGATGTCCATGATTTTTCTATGATAACGTAAGACTGTGATGACATTTACGTCACTGTGGGAAGCGACCACACGACCGCAGGAAATATTCAGGATTTTGCTGCTATCGAGAGAGACGATGTTTCCGTGGCCTTAAGTAATGATGATAATGAAAATTATTACTATAATAAGGATTATTACTTTTTCAACACTAGCTCACTGGACTTTGAAACAAATTTGATGTAAGTTTATATCTATATATATAATACGTGAAGCTGTTTTTTGTTAAGGCAACTCCTCCCTTATTTGTGGACCAATTTCAACGTTTAAGGTGTCGAAAGATTCGTCTCAATATGTAGTTTTGCAATAAGGTTTTACAATTTTAAAATTCCTACTCTTAAGAGCGTGAGACCCTCTCAAAGGTCGGGTTTCCCCCATAAGAAATACACAGAACAAATTTAAAAACAAAAAACAGCTGTTAATGAAAAGAAACTCATTAGCTTTTTGGGAGTAAATATTATTGTTTGTAATATTCAGTAGGTTAAGGCCATGTTAAACAGTTTATCAGTTTTGTTGGAAGAACAGAAAATGCCTCAAGTTCAAAGAAGAAACATTGAAAACGGGAGGAGGAGACAATTAATAATAAGATATCTTATGTGTATGAGGAGAGTAGAAAAACAGATCCCCGTCTAACAGATACCCATCCAGATACAAATTCACTTGGTGAGATGAATAATATTTGACAGTTATGCTATGCAACTTACTTTGGTCGTGGAAAATATACGAAGCACATAGTGTTTTCACGTTGGTAAAGTAAACTTGGCTAATCACAGATCAAATGAATGCATGCAAGAATTGTTTACTTCTGACACTTACAGATCGAGAAATTTCAAAACATTTAGTAGAAACTATAATAATGCATTGACTATGATAAGTTCAAGTAGTAAGATTATACCACATCTTTGCGGACCTTATGTTTTTATTGTAAACTTTCTGTATTACTCAGTCTACTTCAATTGAGAAAAACGCAAATGGATTGTTTACTTCTAGGTTGTGTTGCCCGTATCTCTGACAAACTTATATACCAAATTTTTGGACTGAATTCACCAACACAATCCAGACATTTCAGATCAAAAATCAGAAGTTTCAAAAAGTTAGTGGCAATATTAGATCAAACATAAGTGAAGGAATTAGTGTTCATGTATTTAACGATCGAATAGTACCTTTAACATTATTACTACTCTAATAATGTTTTATATTGTTTCATATTGTTTTATGTAAGGTCAAGTTTATTTTTATGATTCAGGAGAGGCAAATAATATACGCTTTTCAAAAAGAGAAAATGAAAATTGATATCCAAATTTTATAGCTACAAGAGTTATCCAACCTATTTCGACAAAAGAATCCATACTTTCAAAAATTTGGTACTCCATTGAACAACGTGAGAACGTTATGATGCGGGGTATATACTGTGACTGACAGACAACACGTTAAAATACGTTAACCATCTTTCAATGGTGTTGCTGCTTTAGCCTATTATTCAACGCAGATTAAGGCTGTCCAGTTGGTAACCCAGAGTTTGTGGGTAAAAAATGGACCACATAAAATGGTTGATATCACCCACCTTTTCAGGATTCTCTACGGAGAAAATTCGTTTGTTTAGAGTGAAGTCTCAAATCAAAGAAATAAAATGACCCAAACTTAAATTACTTAACACAGGCTATCAGCAAGGCAACAGTTTTCTTTAATTCTCAATTCTGGAAACACTTTGTTGTAACATGTTAACTCGAATTGAAGCAGATCGTTTAGCATTCATTAGGAGTTATCAGTTAAAACTGAGCACAGAAATAATGTAGGTAGGTTGAACCTTTTACAACGCAAATAGAGGTTTTTAAAATTAGTTTCTAACAAGTGTTTAAACTACTCTAAGATGTAAGTAGAATTACTCTAATTTAAGCATAACGTTTTCCTCGGAGTTATGTTTCATACTATGCGGCTCATTGAGCCGCACGGGTACTCTAGTTGTATATATAAAAGGCAAAGCCCTCACTGACTGACTAACTCATCACTAATTCTCCCACTTCCCATTTACCTAGGAGGCTGAAATTTGGTACACTGATTCTTTAGGCATTAAATAGGCAAACTAAGTTGTTTTTATTCTGATCGGACTCTCGGGCTCCGCCCCAGTGGCTCTGGAGTTTCCCATGTCAACCATATGAGTACTCATATTTAAATGGAATTAATGAATCTTAACAACAGCTGTTTCAATTAATCAAGTTGGTTCTGTTCTATGATGTTCAATAGCATTAAAGTTACAAGGATTACCAACAGGGTGCATCACTATTATTTCTTTTACATTTATGACAACAGCTAATTTGCAACCAAAAGGTGAGTGAGCGCAGCGAACAAACTTCAACCTGGTGGTGAGTTAGCTTAGCGAACGAGCTAACCTGAAGGCAAGTGAGCGCAGCGAAGGAGCTCCAACCTAAAAGTGAGTGAGCGTAGCGAATGAACTTCAACCAGGACGTGATTGAGCCATGCGAACGAGCTCACTTATGAAGTTAAACGGGGCAAAGCCCGCGGGTACAGCTAGTATTGTATACTTAAGCTGCAAGTCTTAAATTGATTATAGTTTAAGTGGAACCAAACAAATACGCGGGAACCTGGAAAAACTTCGAAAAACCAGGAAAAAACCTGGAATTTCACTTTAATAAAATAGTATACACCCTGAAACAGTAAAGTGGTTCCGGGTCTAGGTCCTCCTGTGTCACCTGTGGTACAATAGCGTATTTCCTTTAGGGGGAATTTGCAGAAAAACTTAATGTGATATGTAAATATTTTTTTTTTTGTAGATGGCAAAGCTGTATCCGAAGATAAAGTTTGAGACAATGATTGTAGACAACTGTACGATGCAGATGGTGAGCAACCCGCACCAGTTTGATGTGATGGTGATGCCCAATCTGTATGGCAACATCATAGACAACCTGGCTTCTGGGCTGGTGGGAGGAGCTGGTGTTGTGGCTGGGGCCTCCTACAGTCCTGAGTGCTCAGTGTTTGAGCCGGTAAGAAACTCATAGGAAAGCTTACTCCTTGTCATTAACTAGAATTAGCAGTGAAAATAAGACAATATTACCTCTATGGTAAGTAAAACTCATAATGTGTTTGGGTGGGCATGCCAGTTTATATCATGTTCTTGTCTCTCAGGGTGCACGACACACCTACTCTGAGGCAGTAGGCAAGAACGTAGCCAACCCCACGGCAATGATGCTGTGTGCCGCCAAGATGCTTGCCCATGTCAACCTTCACCACTACGCTGACATGATCAGAGGTGCCATCGCCAAAGTACTCATAGATGGGAAGGTATGACATAAATTATTATATTCATTTTAATATGGCACATTCAGGGTGGTCTCAGAACTTCTGTGAAATATATCACACATTTTTCCCAGTGGTCCCAGTAATAGTAGTAAAACCTAGTTTTCCCGGTCTCCAAATGTTCCTTTTTCCTATGGGTTTGCTAGTTCCAGATTTTCTGGACGGATCGAGCTAGAAACTAAGTACAAGAACTAACTAGTACTAATTACTACTTGTACTAACTAGTACAAGAAACTAAGTACTTGCTCACTACAAATCGAAACTGCAATCAATGCTTCGAGTCCTTGAGTTGAAGTGCTGTTGGTACAAACAGAATAAATGCCTTTGATTTAAAACACTAGATTTAAGAATAATTTTCAATACCTCAGACACCGTTTGGAGCTTGTAGAAAAAACTCCTAAATACCGGTATATGGGGAAAAAGCTTTTTAATAAACTACCCCACAACTCTAAAAACTTTAATTCATAATAAATCCTGACTAGTAAAACATATTACAGTGTAAATGAATACCTTAACGAAGCTAATGAACAATATGACTTTTATTTTGTACAAAGTTCTTATTTGACTTAATCTTAATATTCATAGAAATTCATTTTTACTTTTATCGTTCAGCAAATTTTTACAACATAGTGCATAAGACATATTATTGTATATTTTAGGTTAGTTTTGACAATGTCATCTGTTTTTTAGCTATGGTATGATTCAAAACTTTCTATGACAATAAGGAATTATTTATTTATTTATTTGGTGTGGTGCTTTGGGTACTTGAACTCTGAGCGAAAAAAAAAACAAAATTAAGTTGTTCACTTGTCAGTAAATTTGTTTCCAATTTGGCTTCTGAAAAAAAATTTTGTCCCAATGGTGCCACTTTTTTGTGGCACCATATGCGACCGCGTAGTTTGCGTATGGGTTTAACCGGCCCTGACTGGAGGTCGAATTTCATAAAATTTCAGAAATAGCCACAACGGACTAAGTCCTGGACACCTCATATGGATGTACTAAACCACTTCAGAACTTTGATAGTCTTGGCATGGTTACGGACTCCACCCTAGAAACTCAAGACATATGTAGCCAACAGGGTTTCTCAAACTCAATAACTTGTTCCCATCGACTCTTAGCGACACATATCAAGTACTGATAATCCTGCAGACTGTGCGTCAAGAGGAATTTCTGCTTCTCTCCTTGTCAACCGTCCGCTCTGGTGGACAGGCCCTCCTTGGTTTAAGCTTTAAGTAGGAGCTTCGTTTTTATTGGCCTACCTCGCACTTCACTCCGGAGGACCTCTCTTCGTCAGAAGAAATCCAGAAGATAGTTGTTCTTACATCAGCTCCTCAAAAGGAGTGGGAACTTCTCTCTGCCTACTCATCGTGGAACAAACTCCAATGCATTGTTGCTCTTCTTATCCGCTTCATTCACAATTGTCGTCATTAAAGTAACCATCTATGTCCTCACTCATCGTCTGAAATCTCCAAAGCTCGTCTCAAGATCTTCCATCCTGTTCAACAAGCCACCTTTGCAGATTAAATTTCGTCCCTCCAAAAGAAGCGTGACTGCTCCACCCAACTACAACGTTTAAAACCATTTCTTGACTCTGATGGACTTTTTCGTGTTGGTGGTCGTCTCAACAATTCATCACTACCTTTTGAATTGATAATTGATAATTGATGTTCAAAATCCATTGCTGCTACCAAGGAAGCATCATGTTGTTGACCTGCTAGTGGACCATTTCCATGTCACACACCTGCACTCTGGACCTCAACTCACTCAAGCTCTGATCACTCAATCCGTCCGAATTCTTTGTGCACGTAGCGTTATTCGCTCACGTACATTCAAGTGTGTTATATGTTTCCGAAATAAACCCGCTAATAAGTGATCTACCCTCCTCTCGAATCACTCCTGCTCGACCATTCCTCTCTACAGGAATCGACTACTGTGGGTCCTTCACAATTAAAAACTTAAATCTCCATTCTGTGAAAGTTGTAAAAGTGTATCTGCGCATCTTCATTTGCATGGTGACCAAGGCTGTCCACCTCGAAGAAGTGACAGATCTCACCACTGATGGATTAGTAGCTGTTCTAACGCGCTTTGTTTCCCCCCGTGGACTTTGTGCGGACATATATTGTGATTGTGGCACGAATTTTGTCAGTGCTGACGCAGTTCTTCGTACACTGGTTAAACCTCACCTCACAACTCCTCAAGCACAAAACACTCTTACGCTTCTACTCGTGGAATCAAGTTACATTTCAATCCTTCTGCTGCTCCTCATCAAGGCGGACTATGGGAAAGCGCAGTGAAGAGCGCCAAACATCATCTACGACGTGTCATGGGTGACACAGTTCTCATTCTTTCAAAATTCATCATGCTCACCACTCAAGTTGAGGCCATGCTTAATTCCAGGCTGCTAACTCCGCTCTCAAGTGATCCAGTTGACCTTTCAGCCTTAACGCCCTCCTCGGAACTTCTCTGGCATCCGTTCCAGAGCCTCACGTCATGGATGTGCCAACAAATCACCTTAAACATTGGCAATTAGTACAGGCTTTCCATCAACAACTTTGGAAACGATGGAGCTTGGAATATATTCATACGCTTCAACAACGCTCAAAATGTTGTAAAAATTCTCCAAACCTGAAGATAGGAGATCTAGTTTTGGTGCACGATTCTTCTCCACCACTAAATTGGCCTCTTGCCCGTATAACTGGCATCCATCCTGGAAAGGATGGGATCGTCCGTGTTGTGAACCTCAAGACGTCTTCAGGACACCTGACCCGTCCAGCAATAACAAAAGTATTTCCTTTGCCACTTGACTAAAAGATTCTAAGCTGCCTTACTAATAATATTTTTTAGTATTGAAGTTTTAATGAGAATTTTTATGGGTCCTTGGTTAAAGCCCTTTGTTGCTTTAAGGCGGGCAGTAGTTGAAGACTTTAAGACTTTTTCCCTTGAACTGTCTCTACTTTAAGACTTTTTCCCTTGAACCGTCTCTATCATGTGTGCGTGCATTTGTGATACGTTATTATTTCTTTCTTTTTACTTTTTCAATACATTGTTTTAATTGATCATGTTAACATGGTGTCTTTATTATAATTTAAATATTTTTTACTATTCCCAATCCAACACCTATGAAATTTGAAATGGAACCATGATGAGACTTATTGCTAGGTCAGCGATAAGTCAAGAAGAACTGCCTAGTGCCTTTGCATTTTCCTTCTCAAGAAAAGTCCAATTCACCTGTGGAAGAATAAAATCCCCAAGTATCAGTATATGTTCCAGGCTCCTATTAGATACCACAATTACATAACTGCATCACAGTAGATAGAAACACAGCCATTCATTGGAGAGGACAAGTTAAGGTATAAGAATACATACTCTACGCTCCTTACAGTTGAAGCAAGGTTGTGACAAGATATGATCTCATGCACAGCAATCATTACTCCACCACTTCTTTTGCCACTTGAAGGCGATGTTCTGTCGCATCTGATATATATATATATATATATAATAATTTGTCTCCAACGAAGCCCAATTCCGAGTCTTAAACGTAAGGATCCAAATTTGTTTCAAGTTTCAATGAATGCAATGATATCATGCGAGCTAGACTGAGATAGGTTGATCAATTTTGACTTTAGACCATTCAAATTCTTGGTAATAACAACTAACATGCATTGGTGGACTGTTCATCTCAATTAGTTTTTTTTTTATTCTTGACAATTTGAGGGACTCCATTATGGTAACGTCTTGCTCTCCATTAGATACACGCTGATCCAGTTCAGATTTAAGTCTCTTAAAATAATCATTTTTTCGAGGAGTGCTATCTCTGGAAATCTTTACAGATTTGAAGTGCTCATTTCTTGAGGCTACAGTTTCAAGGGAGAAGATCAAGATGATCTCTTTCACCGCCTGTTCGGAGCAACGATATAAACAACTCATGGATCACTGGCTCAGTGTTGGGCCGCGCGGTCTAGCTTCCCGCACCATCTACTGGCAGAAGCCGACGCAGCCCATACACTCACAAATATAAAAGGCACATTTTTACTTTCATTTTTTCGAATGGGTAGCCTCCGGATTATCAAGATACAATTAAAGTGGTTTAAATACCTGTAATGTCGATAATCCAATCGGTTGTGAAACAACTAGTTTCGGCTCACAAAGGAGCCTTCTTCAGGTTTTCCCAAGGACATTGTCACTTCTTCTGAAGGTCGTCAAAGATCACAATATTTACAAAACATAAAAAACATTTAAAACACGTAACAAGCATGCCTAGGCCTAGCTTTAACGATGTGACCGGCGGGAGTTTACGTCTAGACTGCCGGGCACTATGGTCGGTGCGTCTTATCAGTAACAGGTTGTTTGTGGGTATCATTCTTCTCCCTCTCCCTTTCCATTATTTCTATTGTAGTGTTGCAAATGAAATTAGATGCGAATGAAAGCTTGTCGTTTAGCACGTTTTGTTTGTCCGATTTGACTGCCTTATAAATTTCGAATTCTTCTAGCGTGTTGATCTGAAACTTGTTATTATTAAAATGTAGAACAGTCATGTTATCGTTGATGTTGGAATAGCTATGGTTGTTTGTGATTAAATGCTCTGCAAAAGTTGATGATTGAGTAGACGTGGTTTTCTTGGGGATGTGTTCCTTAAAACGTTTTGCAAAAGAGCGTGATGTCTGGCCTATGTAATAACTATCACAATTGCTGCAATTGATTTGGTAAACACCTGTCTTATCGTAGTTTGATGAAGATATGAGAGGACGTTCCTTTAACTTAGAGCCAAGTTTGTTAACAGATTTAAATGCCACTGTGATGTTGTTCTTGGCCATGATATCAGTCAGCCGATAAAAACGTTTTAGGATCTTTTGTTTTGTTTTTATCTTTGTTCAACTGTTTAGCTACTAGTTTATCTACTATACTACTTTTGAATCCATTTTTTACAGCTATGTTTTTGATGGTATTTAATTCCTCTTCATAATCTTTTGTATTCATTGGTACTGTCAATAACCTGTGTACAAAACAGTTGTATGCAGCCATCTTTTGGGAGTATGGATGGTGTGATTCTGAATTAATGGTTTGGTCAGTGCAAGTCGGTTTTCTATAGATCTTAAATTCAAAGTGGTCATGTTGTTTAAAGATGGTGAGGTCGAGAAAGTTGATCGAGCCCTGTAACGGTTAGCGTCTGTGAACAATGTTCTGTTTTCAAGTTCATTTAAGAATACTTCGGCCAAAATGCTTGATAGAGGGGAGCCCTTAGCTAACCCTTCTTTTTGGATGTAGAAGCTATTTTGAAATTTAAAATAATTCTGTTTCAGAACAACATTTGTTAGTTTTATCAGATCATCTATTGCGTCAGGTGAAAGTTTGGAATTCTTCAATAAGTTCAGTTTGAGGATGTCTATTGTTTCGTTAATAGGAATATTTGTATAAAGATTCACAATATCGAATGATGCTAGTCTTTGGTTATTTTTTATTGACAGTAATTTCATTTTGTCAATTAATTCTAGGCTATTTTTAAGGCTATGGTTGTTCTCTAAAATAATTTCATTTCTGATTATATTATCAAGTTTCTTTGCTACTTTGTATGCTGGTGAAGGCGTGAAGTTAACAAGAGGTCCACTTTAATTGCACATTTTTAGTTGCTGTCCTGTTGAAATGTATAGGGATAAATATTGCTAACGCATGTCGATGTCAAACTCTTTTTAGTATTTAAACCTTTATGTCTGTTTTTTGTTTCTTGCAGAAAATAACCCATCTGAATACTTTAAAACTACAAATTCACTAAACTCGATCTGTAGATGTTTTTAGACAACTGATATAGTTAGTTCCAAACTGCACATGGTAACATGATAAGTAGTTATAAAGGACAAATAGAAAGTAGAATATTTGTAATTTAAAACCTATTTTACTAAACAAACAAAAATAGTAAACCAATATAAACACTTTTGAATAGAATGATTTTGCCAAGTTTTTGCCGCAGACCTATGTTTGACGTAAACTCGATACTTTTTTGTTCCAATGTGTAATGTCAATGTATCTTACAAAATAGGTAGGTAACAAAAAAGCGAAAGAAAAAAGTAGGCCCATCACGTTAATGTCAAAAAACTGCGGTAAAAACTGGACAAATGTAGTCGGGTTTCAAAGATTTCAAATGGGTTGTTTTCTGCAAGAAAATAAACATACATAAAGATTAGATTAGTAAAAAGAGTTTGGCATGCATTAACAATATTTAATATATTTCATTAAATATTTTGCATTATATATTTCAAGAGAGCAGCAACTTAAAAAGGTGAGTTTTATAGTGGTGAGTGTAAGGGCTGCGTCAGCTACTGGTGGGGGGAGCTAGACCGAAAACAGCGCCAGCAGTGCTACTGAGAGCGCAATCCAGTAGTTCTTTACATCGTTGGTTCGGAGTTGAATACAATTTGCGGAGGAGAGGCCTCACTTTATTATTTGGATTGATTTCCTATTAAAGTCAAATCTCTAGTCAATGTAAGCAATATCCACGATATTAATTAACATGTATTTCTGATTTGAATTACAAATACTTTTGATATTTTTGTTTTTATTAATTCTTTTTATTTATTTTATAGGTCAGAACTAAAGATCTAGGAGGACAGAACACTACTAATGAATACACGTATGCCGTCATTGCCAACTTAGGAAAATAGAAGAGGATAAAAAATTGTACATAGGGCCTTTTTGTACATTTAATAAATCTGAAAAATGTGTAAAGATAAGAATGTAGATTCTTAAACTGTTAATTTGCAGGGAAACCTTGAATATTCATTGAAAATGTAGTAAACCAATTGCAGCATTTTTCAACATTTTGAAAGCAACTTTTTATTCAAAAAAATGTAGGTTTATTAACTGTAGGCTATAAAAATGTAGATTATTTGGAGATAACCGTGTTGATTTTTTATATAAATACATTTTATTGATGCCAGTTGGCTGCATCATGATTAGTAGTAATATTGTGCAAACTTTTAAAAAGAAGTAATTAATTCATCTTCTAAAGTAGTAGGCCTAATGTAATGGCTATCAGTATTGAACGATGACGTGATGTGTTTTTAAATTTACTGTTCATTTTGACATTTTTACTTGAAACTACTTCTAAATCAACTCCAGATTGTATTCTATTAAATTTTCCAAAACTGTACTCCATACAGGACTACATACAATTATACAATTTTATTTAAAGTATAATAGTTTTAGTTTTATTAACTTGTTCTAGTCATAGCTACACTCAGTATTTATTGATTACAATATTGTTTTTATTCTACATACTGTGGAGTATGTAAACTACTTTTAGGCTACTATTTTTTTTAATTCTAAATTGTATAAATATTGTTACTGTTCTGTAATATTAAAAATTGTAATGTAATAAAATTTGGTTTATGAAGTATCATGAAGTTTTTTGTAAAGTTTCCCTTTTTTTATTAAAAGATACTGTTATTTGAAAATTAATTAAAAACTGTTTTGTATAACAAATCCAAATTTAAAACAGTAAAATTATAAATTTAAAATCATTGTAGTTTCATGCAGTTTTGTAAATACAGTATTTGAAATACAATAAGTTAATCATGTAAAATAATGTGTGTATGGGTATGGTATGGGCATGGATATTTATGGTGACAACTGTTGAGTTATTGTTAATTGTACCTATATGTTTGGATTTTTAATTTTAGCGTCACAAAATAAAGAATCTTAGGGACAGTAATTGAAAGGATTTAGGACGGAGAAAGGTTCAGTGCTCGCTATTTTGTTTAATTAAACATCCAAGTTGTAATTATTTGTTAACTACGATGTAAAATTGTCAACATATAAATGAAGTAGTTAAAAAATGCCTTATTTTTTGGGCGAGCAATTCAATGGAACAATCACCGTCCCCCTAACACCCCTTTTTTTTTACTTATTTAGGAAGGTAAAGATGCTCTCCTTATTAAAATAAATATTTTTTGTCTTAAATTGACTGCTTTTATTTTTGTAATACCAAATATACCCACTTTGCCCCCTTTACAAGGAGGGCAATAAACCCCCCTTGTAAGTACAAAGGGGGGGGGGTGTTAGGGAGCGAGAATGGTTGCATTGAGTTTCTTGCCCCAAAAATAGGGGGTACACATAATATCGGTACCCCTGCATCATTACAACATACCAACTCCCCAGAGCCATATATGTATAGATTAGATGCAATGGTGTTTTTGTTCCCTAAGGGGAAAAGAGGGTAAGAGGGGGGATAAGTTGTACAAAGTGGGTATATTTGGTATTACAAAAATAAAAGCAAGCTATCCAAAACAAAAAAAAAGTTGATTTTAATTTGGGGGGCATTTACACCCTCTAATGAGTACAAAAGATAGGCGTTTGTCTATACAAATTGCTAGTAGCTTATGACCTATGCTTATGCTTCAACCATTAACATTTCCGTTATGGCACAGAAAGTCTTCTGTGGTTAAGGGCAGAAAATCCCATATGGCCGGCGGTCCTGCTGACTCTTAATATGAACATGATACAGTAGTTGTTGAGCATACTACAACCCTGATTTTGTTTTACAAATACCTGAACGGCTAAAGCGATTGGCTTGAAATTTATAGCACAGTCATAGTTACCAACTATGGGAAGGTATAAATATCTTAAATGGTACAAATCGGACTAAATGGCTAATTTTCTCTCAGCTAATTTTTCAATTTTAGAAATTTAACATGGGCCTTATTGGTTTACACTAGCAGAGTACCCGTCCTTCGTACGGGGTTGGCATATAAGTTTAAAATGCTTATTGCAGTTATACTCAAGCTTTGCGTTTGCAATGGGGGAGGACAAAGTTTGATCAAATTTGCTTCTTTAAATTGACGGTATATACACATCTACCATAGCCATAATAATATTCTACCACTTAACGTAAACAATAAAGAAATAGTTTATAATTAAAAATACTTTTTAAAAATGTCACGTTTTTAAACGCACTAAAAAGTATAAAATAATTTATAAAATGTTGAGAGAATAAATACTTGTAAGATTTAAAACGAAAAACGTGGGACGCATGCTGAAACTTCACCTATTGAACTATTACGATCTATTGCATGCGCCCCATGTTTTTCGTTTTAAATCTTACAAGTATTTATTATCTCAACATTTTATAAATTATTTTATTTTTTAGTGCGTTTAAAAACGTAACATTTTTAAAAAGTATTTTTAATTATAAATTATTTTCTAGTTTTTAGTCTTTAATGTGTAAATATGTTAAATCCATTTTATATAGCCTCTTAATATATAAGCAAAACCCTAAACCTTATTATCTGTAATCAGATGTTTTATCTTGTCATTGAAATTATGCAGAACCTGCGAAACGGCACACGGAAGATTTCTCAGGTGCCGTTTGATGTCACTAACTGCTGACGTCACTTTGAGGGAACACCAATACCGCAACGATACGGTTTTGAGCCATCGGCCTCGTTGGTGCAGTGGATAGCGTTGCGGGCTGATAATCCGAATGTTCCGGGTTCGAATCCCGCCGGCGGCACTAACTTTTTATCAACAATTTTTTCATATCAGCAAGTTTGGTTGGTTTGGTTAGGTTATTACAGTTTAATTTTATAATTAAAAAATTATAAAATTGAATTTTAGGCAATTATAATTTTATTTTATGAACAAAACTATTTTTTAGATTGGTAAACCTTTATTCGATTTTTCCATTATCAGCACGTTTGGTTAGTTTGGTTAGGTTATGACAGTTTAATTTAATAATAGAAAATTATAAAATTGTCTGTTTCTTCAGACGCAGCAGTTAGTGACGTCAGCAGTTAGTGACGTCAAACGGCACCTGAGAAATCTTCCGTGTGCCCCACCGCAGAACCTGTACCTCTTAACCCTGCTCTTCTGTCAAATTTAAGAATTTACAGCTGACTTAAATTAATTTATATGTTTACATTCTTTTAAAATGTAAACATGAAAAATTTGGAAGCCAAAGGGGCGTAGCCCAAGGGAAATATGAAAATTAAATGATATAATGATGCAATGTCTTCCATTTGTGAGCTATGTTTCAAGTTTCAAGTCTCTAGCTCGTCGGGAAGTTAGTATAAAATTGATTTCAAAATTTGTACTGGACAAGAAAGCGAGCTAATAAAAACGTTTTAAAATAAATTATTAAAATTCACAAAAAGTCACAAATTATTCATGACGTTAAAAACATAAACATAACTGTAAACAATCATAATTTAACAGTTCTCATTGTGTATCACATTTTTGTTGCTGCTTGGTTCAAATTAGCTGTTTACATAAATACAAAAACAATTATAGTGCTGCACCCTGGTATATCTTATAACTTTTTAATGCTTTTGTATATCATGGAACCAACTTTTTTAGTTGAAACAGCTGACTAAATTCTTTAATTGCCTTTAAATATGAATACTCATAAGATTAACATGGAGAACTACAGAGCCACTGGGGCGGAGCCCGAAAGGATTTTTGAGATAACAATATGCCTATATGTGAGCTATCATTATGCCAAATTTTAGCCCAATCCGTCCAGTGGCTTATGCGCGATGGAACTTCAAACAAACAAACACACAAACTTTCACATTTATAATACTAGCAGAGTACCCGTCCTTCGTACGGGGTTGGAATACAATTATAAAATGCTTATTGCAGTTATACTCAAGCTTTGCGTTTGCAATAAGGGAGGACACAGTTTGATAAAATTTTCTTTTTTAAATTTACAGTATTCTATAGTATTAGAACCATCTACCATAGCCATAATGTTCTACTACTTAAATTATTCATGAAATGAAAAACATAAACATAACTGTGAACAATTCTACGTTGACAGTTCTCATTGCGAATCACAGTCTTTTGTTGCTGCTTGGTTCAAAGTAGCTGTTTTCATAAATGAAATAAACGGTATCAGCATTCTGACACATACTTTCTCCCATAAGTTTGTCAACAAAACCGTGTGTAAGCGGTGACAGTAAATATACGGAAATGGGATTTGTATAGTTTTCTACAGGATTTAAAGGACTATAACATACTAAATTTTTATCAAAATAGTTTGAGCCAATTTTGGGAAAATCTGATTTTCTGTTATTTTATGGGGGTTTTGTGGGAAAATAACATAATTTACAATAACTTTTGAACCATAATTTTTACAGAAATGGGTTTTGTACCACTTTGTTCAGAATTTAAAGGGCTACAACATACTAAATTTTTATCAAAATTGTTCGGGCCATTTTTGAAAAAATCCGATTTTTCCGGTTTTTTATGGGTTTTTATGGTAAAATCCCCATTAAAAATCAAAATTTCAAAAAAATGAAAAAAACGCCTGGAGATACCATGGATTATAACCTACATACCAAATTTCATCGAAATCGAACCACAGGTGTAGTCTCTAGCTCTGTACACATCCAGACACACAGACACACACACACACACACAAACACACACACACACACACAGACATCACTTCGAAAACCACTTTTTTGGGTCCAGGGGGACCCAAAACGAATATATCCACTCAAAACTCAGACTCGAAAATTTTGACGAAAACAATACTTTCTCCATATACTATGGTATAGGGGGAGAAAGTAAATAAACGGTATCAGCATTCTGACACATACTTTCTCCCATAAGTTTGTCAAAAACCTTTATCATGTGTAAGAGTGGTGAGAGTAAATAACTGTAGGCCTATACGCAAATGGGATTTGTACAATTTTGTTCAGAATTTAAAGCATTATAACATGCTAAATTTTTATCAAAATAGTTTGAGCCAATTTTGGGAAAATCTGATTTTCTGTTATTTTATGGGGGTTTTGTGGGAAAATAACATAATTTACAATAACTTTTGAACCATAATTTTTACAGAAATGGGTTTTGTACCACTTTGTTCAGAATTTAAAGGGCTACAACATACTAAATTTTTATCAAAATTGTTCGGGCCATTTTTGAAAAAATCCGATTTTTCCGGTTTTTTATGGGTTTTTATGGTAAAATCCCCATTAAAAATCAAAATTTCAAAAAAATGAAAAAAACGCCTGGAGATACCATGGATTATAACCTACATACCAAATTTCATCGAAATCGAACCACAGGTGTAGTCTCTAGCTCTGTACACATCCAGACACACAGACACACACACACACACACAAACACACACACACACACACAGACATCACTTCGAAAACCACTTTTTTGGGTCCAGGGGGACCCAAAACGAATATATCCACTCAAAACTCAAACTCAAAAATTTTGACGAAAACAATACTTTCTCCATATACTATGGTATAGGGGGAGAAAGTGAAAAATATAGTGCTGCACCCTGTTGGTAAATCTTATAACTTTTTCATGCTTTTCCATATCATAGAACCAACTTTTTTAGTTGAAACAGCTGACTAAATTCTTTAATTCCCTTTAAATA